GAATAGTTCATTCAATATTGACTCGTTCATACTTTATCAATAAACAATCACCTGCAACATTCCAGTACTGCAATGGTTCTCTCATTATTTTATTTATTTATCTTTTATTAATTTTATTTACCTATCATGTTAAATTCATTAAGTTAGACTTAATAAATATCCTAACTTTAAAAATATGTTGTGTTGAATTATATTTTTCATTAAGACAACGAAATTATAATTTATTAAGTTATATAAATAGTTAAAATATTTTTAAATGTTATTTATTCTATATGTTTTCTTATATATAGATTACTTTGTTATGTTATATATTTATATTCTTTTTGTAGTTGTGGGTCTCCAGCTCATGTAATAACTAATTATACAAAAAGAAACATATCTTTATTGTATGCAATTAATTGTAATTTATTAAGGGAATGTTCAGAATTTCAGAATTATTTTATATTGAAAATAATTATTGCTGCATGAAAAAAATGTAGTCATATATCATATAACATTCTAATGCATATCATATGGATACAATATTCTTCATATATTAAAAATTGTAACATTTTTATGTATCTTATAAATAAATTGAATTTTATTGAAACAATCTTCATGGAATACCATATTTAATGGTAAATGTATGATATTTACCATAAATGTGATCCTCAAGGTAATATTAATAAAAACTGTATCTATAAATATAATTTATTTATTTATTCATATCATTAAATATATATTCATAAGTGAATAGAAAACATTAATTTAGATGATTTATGTTAATTATTTTTCAATTCTTCTAAGAAACAGCCTCATTACTTAGTCATATCCTACGTCTGTAATTCAGATTAAATAAAGTTAATGGTTCACACTTGAAGAAAATTTAGATGTTTATTCCATTAGATACTTCCAAAATTTTTATTTAAACAATACGAGGGTAGTGGTATCAATATTGAACACAAACTGTATATGAAATAAGTATTCTGATGCCATCAGGCGATATTTTGGATTATTTGTGGTTTCATCGAAATACACTTAAAGTCTAAATAGATTTTCAAAGCTCTAAGTTTTGTACTAAATAGTTACTGATGCTATTCTAATGGTCTATTTATCTACTGCTACTGCCAACCGCAGCGACCGCCATGCGTTACTGCCAACCGTTAATGCTTGTATAATTCAGTGAAAATGCTCACCGCAGTAGTCAATTCCTCTCGCACTAAACATCCTAGTTTAAAGCATTTGGAAATAAAAATGTTAGGATTAAATTTAATGGTTTTCATTTTTAGATAAAAAAATCTGGTGTGCACAACACACAACTTTCATTTACCACTCAACTTTAAATTAAAAATTAAAAATATTAAAAATTTTTTGAATTGCATTTTTAACCGAGCTAAAGCCAAAAGATTGCAGCTCATCATATCATCATAAATACTATTAAAATAACAAAAGTTCTATTTATTATATCACCGGTTGATTATGGATTGTACGATTCGTTTATTATGGATTGTACGATCCGTTGATTATGGATTGTACGATCCGTTGATTATGGATTGTACGATCCGTTGATTATGGATTGTACGACTATTAGTTATTAAATTGTTATTTTTCATTGCAAAGTTTACTGAAACAGAATAGAGAGATTTGTATTACCTGTCATAGACAGGTCAACATTGGTCACACAGATTGTAAGTGGACTCTGTTGGAATATCGCAAAGAGAAAATTTATCAAATTATTCACTAATTTAATTTTCTAAAAGTTTACAAAATGATTTTTCGGAATAAACTGACGATATGTAATATATAATGATTGAAATATAATGTCAGGTCTAGAGTAATTAAACTACACTACAGTAAATATATTTAAGGTTATAAACATATCCATGAAATATTTTTATATTTCACTTCTTCTTTCACACAAGTACAATGGAATAGTATCATAAACAATGCCATTATTTGAAATCCGTGGGCTTTAAATACTTTGTTAAACTTTAAATATGTTCAAAAGTTTACATTTATTAAGAAAATTTCATTTAATTTCCTTGAAAACATGTTATTATTTATATTTTTTTCGCTACTCTTCGTTACCTTCTACAACTTTCTATATTAGATATTGTTTTTTCTAATATTAACCGCTTTCCAACGATATATTATAAGTACACCTTCTGACTTGTATTTCCGAAGATTCATTTTCGAGTATTTTTATTTTTTACTCCATTCAATTATCAAATTATTTCAAAAGTTAATTTTTAATAGTGAGAAATAGTTGATTATTTACAATAAACCATATTAAAGGTACTTTAGAGGAAGACGCATATGAACATTGGACATTTAAGCCCTGTAAAGTGACATCAACGGAAATAAGACCTCAACGATATTGAGAAAAACTTATATATACAATGATACACTGAGTTTAATAAAAATCGTTAGAGCCGTTTTTGAGAAAAATGTATATATCCGTTGATATAAAGTGCCACTTCCGGCTAGTCAATTTTAACGAAAAAGTTGCTGTCACATCCAAGGCATATACCTATCTTAAATACGTAATATCAATTTCGTTTTTGAACTAGACTGATTACACATAGACCATTTTGTGTCACTGGTGATTTAGACTAAGGGGACCTCAAAACGTGTATTTCCGTTGAAAACCCATATTCAATTGCAATACTTTCCCTTACTATTTATTATATATATATATATATATATATATATAGGTAAGTGATGGTAAAAAAAAAATTGTTGTTTGAATATAGATTTATATATATTATGCATGCATTAAGACAGGAGCTAGCTGAATTTGTTATCTTTCTATAGAATGGGTTCTTCCATAGCAGCCACTTTCAGCTTTTAGGTTAACCTCCTCGTTTAACGATTCTCTCGTAATTGCCTCGAAGACATAATGGAAAATAATTGCAAATCACTATCTAATTTGCGGCTTGGGATCAATAAAAGGCTATTGTGGTACGCTCTAGTAATTTAGTGTGGAAGGAGGGCCAAATATATTGTGGTTCCTAATTTAGTGAGGGGAGGGGTGGTTCTAAACATATTGTCCTCCCTTGAGCCCCCGTCTCACCTGAGCTTGGCATTATTAAACTCCTGACCTAAATTACACCTGTTCAGAATCTGAAAGCAACACTCATCAATCATATTGAAAAAAAAAAGGTCTACAAAATACGATCTGTATTGCTTTCTCGTTCATTTCAATTGTTTACATTGAAGATCTACGTTAAGAAAAAAAAATCTACCTGAGAATCCGTTTTTGAAGTATAGTCTTGTCAAGGAAAATACACTCTTAAGAGAAATTTGTTAAACTAATCTGATAAAATCGATATTAGACCATATAGGTAAAAGTTTGATGCGCGCATCACACACGGACTTTCGCTTACCACCCTCTTCTTAGCAGAAATAATTATTAGGCTATGAAACGTCCCTTGATGGCTTTATACAATATGTTATAAAATTTTTAGTTGCAGACCTGTGTTACTACGAAATTGAGTCCTCATGAATGTTCTGAACCGGTACCAGTACATCAAAATTTCTTCATTGAATAATATTACATTTTATCACAACTAAGGGCATCAGTAACACTGAAATAGGAGTTCATTCACATTATATGTGCAATAAATAAAAATAAATGAAATGGAACAACAGAAAAACAGTAATGCTAAAAATTAAATATGCATTAACAAAAAAAAAAAAAACTATTCAAAATAACAACGAGAACTCCGAGCCAGGTCTTCTTCTCCCTCCTGGGCGCAAAAACAGAACTCTAGGAGATCCCAGCGCCTCTCTCTCAGCAGTATTACTGGTATTAATGACCGTTGGAAGCCATTCTAACCACGGGCGGATCTACGGGGAGGGGGGGCTTTCGGGCTGAAGCCCCCCCCCCAAAATGGTAAAACATAACCATGTTTTATGGAAAAAAAAAATTGTTAAAATACCTCTTATAGTATTATTGTTCGGTTAATTACATTTAAAAGAACTTAAGGAAATTTACACCATTTCATATAGGTATTTAGTTTCTTTCTGTTTTTCCAAAGTAATTATCACAATTTTTATGAAAAAAAAGCTTCCGGGCTGAAGCCCCCCCAAAATTAAATCCTGGACCCGCTAGTGATTCTAACCATTACCAGAACTCCGATAAATGCTTATTTACAAAAGGTCTCTGGGCCACTGCCGCTTCAACTTTCGATCAGTGTTGCAGATATGGGTAGAGACATGTGGAAGAGGATTTGGATGATATTTAAGGTTTTCATCAAAATTTGGATAATTTCTCTGAGATAAAGTCCAGGACAAATGGGATATTAAGGTCATGTTGTAAAATTTTGTGGTTACATAAACCGCTGGCTTTAGCACCAGTGACGCGGTTGAAAGAGTAGCGCAGGGATCTCTTGGAGTCCTGTTTTTCCTTCTATAGTTGGAGGAAGAAGCCTGGCTAGGGGTTCCCTGCCTGATTGTATATAGGTTTGACTGTGTTTTTATGTTTTTAGCTTACTTATCTCTAGGTTATTTTATTTTTTATTGTACATAGTTTTTGATTATTATTTTACTTTTGTTAATTTTATATTTTCTGTATATATGGTATAGATGTGTTCATATATCACTGTAATTATTGTCCACGTGACAGATAGTTATATTTCTAAATAAATAAATTAAAAAAAAAAATACTGCTCGAAAGGCTGAAAGGATTGGATGCGTTTAATGTTGGAAATTTTTCTTTCTCCTATATTTTCAGTCCGTAATACCAAATAAGTTTCAGAATTGTCTTGTATATCAATAATTTGTCGGTAATAGAAAGTCGAGATTTTCTATTCAGTAATTTATATATCTAGCAAAATTATTTGTTCAGATATTGTCTTATAAGCCTAGTATGAGAGTTCCATGTTAGTCGTCGATCTAAGAGAAGAAGCTGGATGAAATTAAAGTTTACTGGAGGACAGAAAACTTAAAGGTGTTTGCATTTGTTAACCATTACAGTTTTGATAATAGTCAATTATCTCTTTTTTAAATAAATAAAACAATTTAACAATAACAAATATATTTATTTATTTTTTTATAATAAGTGACACAAATGTTTAAATGCAACATCAACCACCTAATACAAATATACCAAAATAAAATGTTCATTTAAAAATATTGACATTGAAAAGTAGAAAATTTCATTAAGTAAATAGATACATTAATATATATATATATATATATATATATATATATATATATATATATTTCCATACAATATTATGGTGTTCACAACTTGGATGATCCTTTACGCTCGAGCGCCGCATGGATGAACCCGGATGGCTTGTCAGTTGGCAAGAAGACAGTTTTGTTGACACCAACACCAACCATGTCCTTAGGAAACCCGGACAGGTCCATATCCATGTAATGTTTATTCGGCATGTCCATCTGGATCTTTTTGATCTGGATAATACAAACAACAAAAACAATTATTATTTCCGAAAAGTCAACATTATCTTACCCATTAACCATTATTCCAATCATTACTGTTTATTTTCGTCTCATAAGAGAAGGGTTATAGGTAGAGATGGAATTTTCATGTTGTTGCATATTTTATTCGCTCGCGTGTACAAACTTCAAACCTGAACATCTATCCGTTTCACAATCTATAGAATAAGATATTTAAATTTGATATTGCACGGAATTGCACGTTTTGACCTAAATTCCACAATTTTTATTTTATTGCATCAGATTGCATATTGTTGCACTTTTTGTACTGGATTAGATGGTTCATAAATATATATATATATATGTGTTATAAACATATTTTTTAAATTTATTTATTCAGAAATATAACAATCTGTCCCACAGAAAATAATTATAGTGAGATATGAACACATTCAGACCATATATATAGAAAATATAAAATAAAAAAAAACAAGATAACAACTAAATAATAATAAAAAAGTATATAAAATTAAAAATAAAATACCTTAAAGATAAATAAATTGAAAACATAAAAACCTAGTCATAGATATATACAATCAGGCAGTGAATCCTAAGCCAGACTTGTCCAGCCAACATAGAAGGAAAAGAAGATCCAAGAGATCCCTGTGCTATTCTCTCAACCGCGCCATTGTTACTAAAGCCAGAAGAGATTGATCGAGAGTGCTTTAGCCACATACACTCATACACTCATATCTTGCTTGACTAGAGAATCTGGCCATATCCAGAACTACAACATATTCACTACTTGTAGGGATAGATGGAGCTAGATATGAATTTAAAGGGATTTGGAAGATAAGGTCTATGACTAATGGGATGTTAAGGTCATGATGTAGTGTTTTGTTGGTTACTTAGAACGGAGCATCGACTATTGTTCGGAGGACTTTGGAATGAAAGGATTGGATGCGTTTGATTTTAGAAAATTTTGCTGTCCTCCAAAGCACCAATCCGTTGGCCCAAATAGGTTTCAGGATTGTCTTGTAGATCAATAAATTGTTGTCAGTTGAAAGTTCAGTTTTTTCTTGTAAGTAGCCTGTAAAGTTGGCCATATCGTCTGTTAACTTCTTGTCTTTTAGTCTAGTATGTGGGTTCCATATTAGTCTTCAGTTTTATAATTGAGGAAAGAAAAAAAGGAATTGAGGAAGATAAATAATTCCATGGATAACAACGATTTAACATTACAGAAGTAAGAAGCACTCTTGCTCAATCTCCACTGGGTTTAGCCCCAGTGACGCGGTTGAGAGAAGTTGGTTCGGAGTTCTCTCGCCAGATTGTAAATATTGTATATAGGTATGTATGTGTTCTTTTTATTCATTTATTTTTAGTTTATTTTGTTCTTATTTATTATACATATATATATATATATATATATATATATATATATATATTATTTTTCGGTATGATTTATTTTATTTATTGTACATAGTGTGAATGTGTGAATCTGTGAACACTATTATAAATGTCCTTGAGACAGATTGTAATATTTTTCAATAAATAAGTTAACAAAAGTAAGAAATAAATGAGTTAAGAATATTGTTGGAATAGAAGTTGCCTAAAGTATTAGATAACAATAAAAAACTATCTTTCTATAATAAGCTATTTTGTTAGAACGTCACTTCTTGTTAATGTTTTGACAATTGTTAATTTTAACTAATTTTTCTCTTCATTATCCCTTTTTGTCTTGCTTTGAAGTGGATTTTAGTAATTTCATTATTATTAAAAAAAAAAAAGAGAATGATGGTGCAATTATGATATAGTCTCTCGTTAAAAATTAACTTATGGATATCGAATTATCCCGAGTCGAAATTTGATGGAAAAATTGTCTTCTGTATACTCTGTGAAAAATCAATCCGGTTGAAGAGAAAATCACAAACAGACACTCATTGTAGACCAGATAAGAAAAACTATCAAGAGCATAAGTCCTATCCTTCTCTGTCTCTCAGAAATACGGATTTTCGGTAGGAGTATTCCATACCATTTCTCCTCGTATAAATAATAATAAATTTTACTCTGATTTAAATATATTATCAACATTACCTGCGGAATGTTCTCGAGTGCTAACGCGCAGGCCAGGTACAAGGTACGTTGTACACTTTTAGATAGCACCCCTTCTTGAGGAGGTCCAGCAAATGTATCCAACACACAAGATAAAACTTGCTTCCTGGAAAAATAGATAACAGCTAAATAATCTAAAATTGGTTAACATATATATACATATACAGTCTCAGTTCTTAATGAGAAAACTGTGAGGAGTGATTCGAAACAAAATTTCCAACAAAAAAGTTCATTTCATGAACCTAGACCGATTCCGAACGAAAAAAGAGATAGAACCAATTTTGTATTTTCCTTGAGGGAATCACTTTTTTACTTTCACTTACCTATATATGAAATATGTAATAAATTAAACTATTTCGATCGCGAAAATTTTATAATTTCCGTTTTCAACGGAAAACCACGTGCCGAGTGTTGGGGTCCCATAAGTGAACATATTCAAGTCCCACAAAATCGCCTGTGTTTGTTTTAACAATCTAGCTCAAAAACGAAAAGTTGTACAAAAGTGACTTTTCATATTTAAGGTTATTATATGGTAGAGATGTTACAGCAACTTTTTCGTCAAAATCGACCAATCGGAAGTTGGTCTTTATATTATAGAATTAACACATTTTTACGATTTTCTCGAAAACGTCTCTAACAATTTTTATTAAATTCATTATATCAGTGTAAAATCAAATCAGTGTTAAATAAAATTTAGTTTATATTCTGATTGATGTTCTCTAACAGGGTTTAAATGGCTAATTTCCAATAGTAGATTACCCCAAAGTACCTTTAATTTGTTTTATTTGAAATAATTGATTATTTCTCATTAATATATAATATAAAATACAGTTAAATACAATATATGAAAGAATTTGATAATTAACTAAAGGAGAAATAATAGATCGTAACGGATAATAGTTGTAATTTATCGTACCCGAGCTCGCCCAAAAGATTAGAACATGCTTCCATACGTAACATTACCACAATATAATACGGACTCTAACAATATTGTATAAATATAAATATGTGGTTTTTATAAATGCTATTGTTGGTGTTATTTAATATTTAATTATATAGATTACACCGATACAAATATTAAAATTTATTTAAGGGTACTTATACAAATAAAAATACCCACAATGAAATATAAATAAATTTAGCGTCTAAAATTTTTACTTTCACTTCCCCTTTGTCTGAAAATACTTATTTCTGCTTAGAGAGTGGTAAGTGAAAGGTTTGATTCGCACAACGCAACAGATTTTTTATTGTATAAGAATAAATTGCTTCAATACTATTGAAGATAATTAAAATCTAAGTACACCATAGTAAAGTAGACAAAATTTTTCTTGTGAAAACATTGATTAGATTAACCAAGGTATAAGTTAAAAGAGACTTTCAGGAGTTATAATGAGACCGCTTTACTGCAGCCTACTGATCGGCAATATAGAAATGGTGCTCGGGTATTAAGAGATAACAACAGTACAGCAGACATATTAGATCTCCTGAAAGTCCCTTTTATCATTGACCTAAGGAAATTTAATCACTGTTATCAAAAAAACGTTTTGTATACGTTTAGGTATTGTACTTAGATTTTAATTATATTGAACAATTTTTGAGTAATTCCTTTTTATCAATGAAAACCGTGACCACCTTAAGAAAAACACAAATAACAATTGGTCTTAACTGCTTTTCCTTTCGGAATCGACCAATGCATCAAATTAACTTCTTTGTTGGAATTATTTTTCTGGATTCACTTCCCAGAGTTTGGCCACTAAGAATTGAGGCACCCTCTATAGGTCAAGAATTGTCATATTTTATATTAATTCTCTTAAGTTAATATTTGTAAAAAAAATTTAATTCCGTATGTAAGAAAGGGATGAAAAAGAGAGAAAAAATAAAAGTAAGTTAAAGTAAGAAAATCTGGTGCCCGTATCACACAAGTTTCACTTTTTCCTTTACTTTTAACAGAAATTATTGTTTGACGAAATTGAGCTATGGCAAATTTTTTTTAGATTAACAATATTAAAGTTTATTGAATTTTTTACGGTGATCTTCCCTAAGCCGGTTTCCATTGCTTTATTTTATCAAAGAAATCGTACTCAAATCTTTTCTTTGATCAATTTTCAGAAAAATAAATCGAATTCAATTATGTTTTCTTAATGATTATATTTAAAGATATAAACACTTTTCTGAAATAGGTAGAAAATTTTCAAGTTAATTTATTATTAGCAATATTTACACCATTTTTTAAAAAAAATTTTGTCACTTAATGACTACTCATCACAATGACGACGTTTCGGATCGTCGAGCCATTTTCAAGTCTAAAATAATTTTTTTCATTTACAATCATATATTAACTTTAACATATTTCAAATTATAAAGATTCTTATTATGTACCTAAAATACTCATAATGTACCTGTCATTTTCACTTATGCGAATTGCAAGTGTCTACTCATAATAAAATTCCTTATTATTGTCATGTTCACCTTTAATTATTTTACAACATTATTATTACTCCATTCATTACCATTAAATGATTCAAATAAGTTAAAATTGCCTTGTTTCTGACTCACTCACATGTCATCCATCTCATTTCTATTCAGTGACTGGTTATTCTTATAGGAATAGGGGAAGACTATTTATTATGAACATATATAATGCTGTTTCTCAATATTATATGTGGATCTATTTTAAGTAATATTAGCTAATTTATTTCAAATTTTGATTTTCTCAATTGAACTAGCGTAAAAAGTATTCATACTATCCACGTCTGTATGATTATTTACCGAGTTTTTTTAAGTTTTTAGTTATGTATATTGCTTCCTTAATTCTACGTTTATTCGTATCTCTTTCATTATGTAGGATTTTGGCATTTTTGAAATCAAACTCATGTTTAGTTTGTATATTATGTTGAGAGAGTCCAGTAGCTAATTTAATTTTTGTGTTTTTTTGATTACAATTTTGTTTATGCTGTTTAAGCCTTTTTTCAAACCATTGGGATATCTGTCCAAATAAATAGTATGCACCGAAGAAGAAGTGAGAAATATTGTGAATAGGTAGGAAAAATTTATGAATGGACACACCAGATTTTTTTTCAAATGCTTAATGTATGTATACCAAGCCTGATCGAAATCCACTCCGATGTGAGATGAATACACCCACTCTGCCGTGACTATCGTCGAGAATATCCTGTCGTCCGTGTCCAGGAGGGTCCTGTACTCGTCGCGGTAGAAGTTCTTGAACTCTGACTGAGTTGTCTTCAGCACCCTCAGACCTCGCAGACCAGCCGTGATCACAGGCGGTTCTGAAAAATAATTATTAGAACATTGGTTGAATAAATGTATTTATATGTATATAATATAATCTTTTAGTTCACCAAAATCGGGTTATTAAATGGGGGGAGGGGAATCGCATGAATTTGAGCTGTAATAGGTATCAAGAGAAAAAGATTCTTATATAAAATAAAAAAAACTAAGATGTGTCCTTTAGACCACACGATAGAAGTGACAATATCACCAAGCGAGATTAATAATATGAAATATAATTAATAAATAAAAGCTCACTATAAAAAGTATGAAATGTTGAACATTTCTCTCAGTTACAGTATATATCTAAGATATTTTTATCTAAGATATTTTTTTTGGTTTAATTTTTTTTTATTCACACCTGTCATAGTGGTAATGGCAACCAGTGAATGTGAGGTCGTTGGAAAAAATAATGTCATGAAAGGCATGAGGAAGATCAGTGCCCAGCGGCACCTCACTCGGCGTGATATCTACATTAGGCGAGGAGGTCCCTCATCCAGCTCCTCTTCAGTCTCCTACAGACGTTACCTGGCATATTCGTTGTGGCCATGTCATTTATAAGTGTATTAGTATGTCCTTGTAAATTGTTATGGAATCGTTTGTAACGAGTTCGTATGTGTTCGTTAACAGTCGGCATATGGAGGTCAGTATATAAGGTTATGTTGCTAACGTTCCAAGGTGCTTTTGTGATTGTTCTAAAAGATTTGAAGTTTTGTTTAGTGAGCCTTTTTAGCAGTTCCAAATATCTGTGATGAGTAAGTCCAAATAGGTTTTAGTAAGTAATTGTATGCGTTCAATTTCTGTCTAAGTTTTAGTTTTGAATTTTTCGAAGAACTGAACTCAGAATTCTGAGCCTTTGATTTAGCGTTTTTCGTTTCTTGATTATATGTGGGCTCCACGTCATTTTTCTGTCAAATGTCAGACCAAGGTAGTGAACGGTGTCTGTCTGTGGAATCTGTGTATTGTCAAGGAAAATTGGAGGGCATGTTTCATGTCGAAGCGTAAATGTGATGTGGTGTGATTTGTCTTGATTTAGTCGGATTTTCCAAATTTTGAACCAGTCATGTAATCTTGTTAAATACTGTTCTAGATATTTAAATCCATATCTTCCATAAAACTCGTTATCACGGGGCACGGGGGTGCCTTGCCTCCTCTAAATATTACTGATAAATATTGCCTTTAATATTCTGGAGAAATAAAGTAATATTATATCTACTATCTTATAAGCTAACATTGATATTACATCTCATATAGATAAATATTAATTACATAAGTGAGAGGGGACAATATTTTTTTTTTGGGGGGGGGAGGGAGGAAGCGCATGCGCCATCGGCCTTGGGGGGATGGGCACCCCTGCGGTGTTGGGTTAAGATACAATTTTGAAAATAGCTCATTACAAATATGATAAAATCCTGAACATTTCTGTTGCTCACAGTATGCAACTGCGGTTTTTGGTTTCTGAGATATTTTAATCTATATGTTCAACCAAACATTTGGTTTTCAACACTATCTTTTATCCTTTACGATTCTCTTACACGACATAGTGTTAAGATGTAATTTTGGATTACGTCGCATAATAAAGGGAATGAAATGCTAAACATTTCCCTTGCTTACAGTATTATGGTCCGATTTTTATCTTAGATATTTTAGTCCATAGCTACCATAAAACTCATTATCATTTAGTTTTCGACAATTCGACAATCCCGACATCGGCTAAATCTATTTATTATTATTATTATTTTTTTTAACTATTCAATAAAAACAGTAAAAATGTATATTCTGCCAATTAAAAATATTCTCTGTTATTCCAGGAACTTTACAAGATATCAATAAAACAATTTTTTAGTTTTTGGAGTTCTAAAAAAAAAAAAAATAGATTTAGCCAATGTCCTGAGTTTTCCCTTACTTGTCCCACTACGTAGCGTCGTATTAAGATACAATTTTGAAAAATAACCCATCACAAATAGGATAAAATGCTGAAAATTCCTTCGCTTACAGTTATTTAAATTACTTCTGTTGAGAATTAAACTACAAACAGACTGAACTTTTCTGTTCCATTTGAAGCCTACCGTCATAAACTTAAACGCCTAATGAATTGCTCATTACGTTTTGTTTTCGGAATCTCAAGAGATACGTATATTACCCAGTATTACACCAAGTTGAAGTGGCTCTATCCATCCTATCGCCGTCAGTACTTCCTAGCCATCTTTCTGTACCAGATCATTAGAACTCATCTTATAATTTAAATACTCTATCAAATCCTTTCCTGCTAGATCTCACACTTCCGACCTTTATCCTCCTCCTCACCGAGCTGCTGCGTTTGACAAATCATTTGCAAATCAAGCCGCCTCCTTCTGGAATTCCATCCCTGCTGATATTGGACACACACAATCAGTTTCCTCTTTCAAACCACTCCTTTCTCAATCCGCCTGATTACGAAATATACTTAAGAGAGTTGTCCAAGTACCCCCAGAAAATATTTCTGTTATTATAGTTGTCACTGTTTGTATTATGTACGCTTTATATCCGCTTATTATGTATGCATATGTACGTTTTTCAAATCTTTTTCTCTCTCTCCATCTGTATTTTTACTTTTAATTAACCAATATTGTAAATATTTACTCCATTTGTGACCACTTATACATTTATTCTGATCTTATAATTTGTTCTAAAGGGACAACAGTACCAGAATAATAAAATATATTTTCATTTCATTTCACTACTTAAGTTTCGGACACCAATATCATGAATTTTTATAAATTCTTACAAAGATATATAAGGTCACATTCGACATGAAATTATTTCAACGACGTTATCTTCTACAAATACTGCTATGTTTATCACTAGCGGATCCAGGATTTAATTTTGGGGGGGGGGCTTCAGCCCGAAAGCTTTTCTTTCATGAAAATAACGATAATTACTTTGGAAAAAAATAAAGAAACTAACTACCTGTATGAAATGGTGTTTAAGTGATCCCTAAAGCCCTTTTAAATGTAATTACACGAACAATAACTTTAAGAGATAATTTTTTTATATTTTTCTCGATAAAACAGAGTTATATTTTACCATTTCGGGGGAGAGGCTTCAGCACGAAAGCCCCCCCCCCCCCGTAGATCCGCCCGTGATGTTTATGATGCCTTAATACCTTCGACCAAAACAGCCTCAATGTACTCAAGTTTTTAGTTATGTATATTGCTTCCTTAATTCTACGTTCATTCGTATCTCTTTCATTATGTAGGATTTTGGAGTTTTTGAAATCAAATTCATGTTTAGTTTGCATATTATGTTGAGAGAGTCCAGTAGCTAATTGCTAATTTAATTTTTTTTGTTTTTTTAATTACAATTTTGTTTATGCTGTTTAATCCTTTTTTCAAACCATTGTGATGTCTGTCCAAATAAATAGTATGCACCGAAGAAGAAGTGAGAAATATTGTGAATAGGCAGGAAAGTTTTATGAATGTACACCAGATTTTTTTTCAAATGCTTAATGTATGTATACCAAACCTGATCGAAATCCACTCCGATGTGAGATGAATACACCCACTCCACCGTGACTATCGTCGAGAATATCCTGTCATCCGTGTCCAGGAGAGTCCTGTACTCGTATTTTTATAAATTCTTACAACTATATATAAGGTCACATTCGACATGAAATTATTTCAGCGAGGTTATCTTCTACAAATACTGCTATGTTTATCACTAGCGGATCCAGGATTTAATTTTTTTGGGGGGGGAGCTTCAGCCCGAAAGTATTTTTTTCATGAAAATAACGATAATTACTTTGGAAAAAAATAAAGAAACTAACTACCTGTATGAAATGGTGTTCAATTGATTCCTAAAGCCCTTTTAAATGTAATTACACGAACAATAACTTTAAGAGATAATTTTTTTATATTTTTCTCGATAAAACAGAGTTATATTTTACCATTTTGGGGGGGGGGGACTTCAGCCCGAAAGTCCCCCTCCCCCGTAGATCCGCCCGTGATGTTTATGATGCCTTAATACCTTCGACTAAAACAGCCTCAATGTACTTGATTCAGAAAGGATATCGTTTGATTTAAAGAAGGGTATACTTAAGGAAAATACGTTATCTTGTTCTATTTCTTTACCTCTTCTGTTGATCTTAACCGAAGCCCACCTCTCGACTCCCGGGTTGTGGACGAAGGCATGCTTGTGCTTCATCCCGTCCTTCTCGATCCTGTCCCATGTCGTCTCTATCACTGTCGCACTCGATTCCACCACGTGCGAGTACTGGTCCAATAGGAACTGAGCCAGCAAGAGGCCGAACTCTTCAGGACTCGTCACCTGTACAGGTAAATTAATAAGGAAAATAATTATATGGCCAACGTCATCGATAATAATGAGAAAAATAAATATAGAATTATATTACAAAGATCAAGTAATAGGCTATTATCAAGAGGAAATAAATTATAAAGAAGCAATATAAGATTACTCCTCAATTTGAAAGTTATAGACAAAAAACAGGCTTAGCCAAAACATTAAGAGAAATCCTACAAGATACTGAAGAAAGAATCAATAATTTGTTTGAATTTTTAAAGTTAACAGGAAATTATAAACAAATACAAATCATAGTAAAACGCCAATGGCCCTTGAGGGTAGAGGAGTGAAAGAGAGAACAAAAAAAAAAAAGATTAGTAGCATATTGTTATCAAATGCCAAATTAGTGAGAAAATAAAATAATGCAACGTATCAAAAGATAAAGAAATCAATTGTTACTTTATCGATAAATAGTGGTAGGCCCGTTTGAAAATTCGGATAGTATATTGTTCAGTGATCAAATAATAAATTAATAAGAAAGTAAAACAATGCAAAGTATCATAAAAGAAATCAATTATTATTTTCTTGCTAAATATAATCGACAAAGGAAACAAAAATTAATTTAAATCTTCATTAATGTTTGGAACCAACATGTTTACAAATTTCAATAAGCTGTATCTTCGCTAAAAATTGTCCGATTTTGATGATTTTTTTTCCCCTTTTGTAAGGAATTTAGTAATCTTTTATATAATCATGGACTTAACCAATGTTTCTATGATCGTCGGAAAGCTGAATTATTACTCATCAACAATATATCAATAACTTTTAGATTTGGCACGTTTAAAAACAATAAATATAGAAAAAACTCTTCAAAGGTTTTCGTTTTATATCTATGGATCTATTACATTTACAGGGGTCTGGTTTGTGTCATTTCGTGTAACTGATATATGTCATAACTTCCTGTAAATTTTCGTAGGGATTAGTGAAGTCATTTTTATGTTATCTCACTTTTTGTGATTATCGAAAGAAACCAAGCCCCGATTCGGTGCATAAATAGTTTTTTTTTTTTAATTTCTATGAAAATGCCGATTTGAGGCTTTATCGAGGTGTGAAGCACAAATCTCAACTCTGTTTTCCCTTAAAAAAATATTTGAACCCACTTTCGACCTTCGGTCAGTACAAATTGTTTCATCGTCGTACTGATAATATAGCTATATATAATAGCATATAATATATGCCAAACATATAGTTATTTTCAAATGCAATGGGTTATAATAGAGCTCTCTTAATGAATATTAATCGACAATAAGAAAAAAGAAAAAATGAAATGTGTGTAATTTTTTAGTTATTCGCAAATAAAGTTTGTTTTCTTTCATAACTTGTTTGCCTGAATTTTTGGGGTGATTGGACTATTTTGCCCGCCTGCAGGAGAAGAAAGCCTTATAGCTTGCCGATCAAAAACACCATCGATAAATAATATAAACTCCTCCTCCCTCGATCATAAAGACCTCAAGTCGACGAAATGAGACATTTATGCAATGACAGTACTACAATTAACGTCAGGTTGTGTGGATGCGAACCCTATGCCATGTGTTATCTCGAAAATAGTACGTTTTTGGGCTTAAAAACGCAGGGCCCGATAGTTCCGAAGGAACTATCCGAGTCTTGCTGTACGCATCGATATCCATCTACAGACCTACCACCGCTCCAGTACCGAAGCCAAGCAAAATATTTGTATCGACTTTATTTATTTTAGAAAAAAAAAACAAAATCTGAGAGTACGATTCACTGACCGCAAGTGAAATTCTGAATCCAACGGTACCCCATTCATGGTATTTGGGCATGAAAGGAGCTTATATTTGGTACAAAATCTATTTCGAACCTTACTGTAATACTATATGTGAGGATTGAAGGTTTTTAAAATATTTTTTTCTAAATTCAATATAAAATTTTGTGTCAATCAATAATAACGAATTCAGCTTTACTTTTATCAGTTTTACAGGTTTTCCACGTGTTTGTACATTTTACATAAGTTCCTGACCAGACCAGTTGGCAACAATACGGTCTGCAATCATTCAACAACATTGGGAGCAGTGTAAATTAGTGGCATTGATCGATTCTATTGTATAGCGAATTGAGTCACGATCTTAAAATATTGAAATTCGTGGATGGATGCTGTTGGGATTTGACTGGACGAGAGTTCAGTTGGTTGTTTGGGCTCAGATGTGACCTCCTTTATTTGAATTATATCCCGTGGCTTGACATAGAATAAACGGATTTTCCACTCTGTAAACTACCATTAAAGGAGGACTTGTTCCAATTTTTGACTGTTCAATGTTCAATACTTCGTAAAATTCGTACCGAATTTTTTGGAACTAGCCCGGTCCAAAATGATATCCTAATTTCCCTTCTAAATGCCCCTTCTGTGAACGAATGTCGTAAAGTTGTCGGTTTTGCTCGACATGCGTAGGTACACCTGGTTATATAAATAAAAACAAGAAATGAACTTAAAAAGTATAATAAACCTCTTAAACACAGGTATATTTATAAATATTATTTGGAACCTTTCGATATATCTCAGCGAGTAAGGCACTGAATTCATATTGTCAAGCTTCTGTGTTTAAGTCCTGCTGTGGCTGGTAATTATTTATTCCATTACATAATCCGAGTGAATATCCACACTTAGTTCAGGAAATATTCTTTTGATTTTTTTTTTATTTCCACTGTTTAATGAATACTATATGTTTAATTATTCACTATTATAGAACAGATAGAAACAGTTGACTCCCGATAATTAGAATCTCAATTATTCGAATTGTTGCCGAAGAGTACGAGCAGCTACTATTAACTTCGGTAAATCGAAATTTTTTTTTTTTTTTTTTATAGTTCGATATCTCGAAAACCTTTTCATAGCAAGAGAGAGAGAGGATGTTTCTAGTAATATTTTTAACATGAGGCTATTGGCATATACAATTTATGTAAACTCAAACATATTTTCAAAAATATAATAAAAACTCTTAATTAATAGTGGTTAAATAGTTGACTGTCGTGAATAATGAAGAGAAGAATAGTTGGGGTGATCAGTCAAATAAGAAGGCAAAATGAATGATAATATTTATTTTGCCATTTGCCGACGTTTCGACCTGAGGTTCAGGCCATCATTAGGGCTGAACTTCAGGTCGAAACGTCGGCAAATGACAAAATAAATATTATCATTCATTTTGCCTTCTTATTTGACTGATCACCCCAACTATTCTTCTCTACAAAACTCTTAATTATCCGATTGTTATTTTCTTTTATCTTGATAATACAAACTTTTTCAAAATCTCGATTTTAAAGAGCGACAGATTTTTTTTTTTTTTTGTATGCTTATTTTGAAGAAGCAATTTTCTTCTTTTTCTCCTTCTATGGGTCCGTCACTGCTACATAGATTTTCATCTCACAATTTAGTTATCTCGTGAGAAACTCTACTACAACAGAATATTTATTTAAAAATCAACAAAAGACATCTAGTTGAGAGCCTCGTTATAAACAATTATCATATAATATATTTAAAAGAAAATACAACTGCTATGTATTGTAAAGACCGCCGGTGGAATAATTATTTTAAATGTATAAATAAACATCATAAGTGTCCACATCTGGCGGTACCTGACTGAGGGTAACCCATAATAGGACAACCTTTTGTAAGTGGTAATAAAAACCCTTAAGGACCACCGACAAAGACCGACAACTAAGTGTTTAAAAAGGATCCCAAAAGACCTTTTCACACCTTCCACCAGAAATACCTAAGTCTGTACCTGCTGCTTTACCTTGGCCTGGGGGAGAGGGCGTGGTCATCCCTTAGGCTGAGAATATTCAACCAATCAGGAAAAAGACTACCAAAAGAGAGGGGGATGAAAAAAGGTGGGAAATAGAGAATTTGGACTGGACACATCTTCTTGGGACTCGGAGAGGAGAGGACTTCTTCTTGGGACTCAGAGATGAGAGGACTTCTTCTTGGGACTCGGAGAGGAGGAGACTTCTTTTTGGAACGGAGAGGAGGGAACTTTTTCTTGGGACTCGGCTGAGGAGAGCTGGGACACAGGCTGAGACTGGAGCAGGAGAAGTCGAGGGAGGAAGACGAAGACAGCCGGAGAGAGCAGATGGACGGACTAGACGCTGAAGGAGAGCAGAGACAGGGAATCCAGATATGACGGCTAGAAACACGATGAAGGACCAGCTAAGTGGTAACAAGCATTTAGTTATACTAATGTAAATTTGTGTTGGCAACCATACATTGTTAATTAATATAATCAATATAACATGTAACTTCAATCAAACATCAAGCATTCTCCTCCAGTATGATTCTTAACTATTCATTATGTATATAGGTTTAGTTATTATTTTGTATATAGATGTTTTTGGTTTGATTTAAGCTTGTAAATATAATAGTTAGTAAACCAACGTAGTACTTTTACATTCTACCTTGCATGCCACCAATTAGTAATAGAAACAAATAGTAAATTTATAAACATGATACCTTTAGAAAGGAAATCCAATAAAGAGTATATGGTTCAATCTAGGATACTACAGCAGGGGGTCTGTGGTATCTAACGTTTAAATACCTAATTAATATATTTTTCTGTAGATCGGTTCCCTTCTGGAACCGATATGAATACAAATATAAGTATTAAATACATTTTAATACAAATAAATGCGGTTCTTGGAACCCCTTACTCGCCGTAGAAACGCGAGGCCAGGAACACAGCACAACCTCATTTTATAAACATTCTAAAACCTCGTAATAAACTACATCTACAGACCTAGTATCGACTGCAATAATATATTGAAATACATAAAAAATTACTCTGAAATTCTAAATAATTTCACAAGATAACCTTGTAAATCCATACCGTACCCTCATCAAAGCAATCTGTCAAGCTAATAATAGATCTCAGAATTGCTAATTAAAACGAATTACCAAGTTAAGGTAGCAATTAATAACATTTATTGCCTATCTAATAAGCTTTATGCTCAATAAACTTTCTTAATAGTTAACGATTTTAGAAAAGGTTTATAGCTGATTTGTTATTGATTATATTTCAGTTGAAAATGTTGCATTAGACTTCGAAATTGTAACACACTTGAAACTGCAATGGTCAAAATAAAATAATTTTGTTGCTAGGTTTCAAGCACCAAAAACTAGCAAGATGCTTTCGTTTATATTTCTAGTAACTGAACGAAATGATAACTATTACAATAATGAAATTTAAAAAGAAAGTAAAAATATATAATGTAAAATATATATAATGTGCAATTCATAGAGATAAGATATACCCCTTTTTATCGAATTATTAACATCCGCCTGAAACTTCGTAAATAGTTTCATCTTATCGTAATCTACAAATATTTTATTTACGAAAATTCTCAGAATTGAGGCATTTTGGATCTGAAGGAAAATTTGTTTCGATTTTATTAGGAACTAAAAACTCGAAAATATCCATTTTCTTTCCTCTTGGAGGGTAAGGTGATTTAAGCACAAAGTCGAGAAAAATGGTGGCTTTAAAAAATATTCATTCGTTTAGCACGACCTACACCTCCAAATTGTAAAAATAACGAGGTTATAAAGACCAAACGGCCCAATATTTTTGTAGGCCATATTTTTTTCCGATTTCGTAATGATATTATCTTACGAAAACTCTTGAAATTGGGACGTTTTCAATCTGTAGGGAGGCAAACTTTGTCTATTTAATTACGTACTAAAAACTCGTAAATACCCATTTACTTTCTACTTGGATCGTAAGATAATATGATCACTAAATCGATAAAAACAGGTGGCCTACAAACATGTTGGGCCGTTTGTCCTATATAACCACGTTATTTTGATAATTTGAAGGTGTATGTCAGGCCAAACTGCTCAATATTTTTGAAGACCTCATTTTTTCTCTATTTTGTGATGAAATTATCTAACGGTCGAAGTAGAAAGTTAATGGGTATTTACGAGTTTTTAGTGCGCAATTTTTGCCCCCCACCAGATTGAAAACGCTTCAATTCCAAGAGTTTTCGTAAATAAAATAGTTGTAGGTTATGAAGAGAAGAAAATATTTAAGTAGTTTCAGGCAAATATTAATAATTCGATAAAAAGTGCTCTGTACTACGTACTAATATTTTAAAATTAAATAATAATTAGATATATTATCATGGTCATTTCATTAAATATATAAAGATGGGAAAATATTCGACTAATGTAATATAATTCCTTTTATATTATCGTGACTGGAATTCCTAACAATTTCATTTCACCCTCACAATTTTACAATTTATAAATTACACGTCTCTAAATCTTTAAAGAATGGGATCCACTCAAAACATTATGAATATCAGCTCAGATCGTAACGCTCTTCAAGATATTACTGGCTTCATAACTCAGCCTGATCCCAACCTCCAATACAAAATTTTCCACACTTCGCTGATTCTTCTCAACACACACCAGTTTCTCCACAACTCTCTGATTTTTCTTCTTCACCTCAAGTTTCTTCACTACATTCTGTCTCCTCATCAGATGATATGCATAAAAGAACTGAGGTAAAATGTTTCCCATTTCTAAAATTATCCTGACTAAAATTCCTGACAATTTTGTTTCATCATATTTCGTTAAATGTATATTTGCACTTTTTAATTTACAAAGCTGACAACATTTTGTAAGATATTAAATAAAAAATATTTAAAATAATTAGTTTCAAATAATAGTTATTATCAGACTAACCCTAGGATTTCATTGATAAACAAATTTAAAAATTCTTTGGGCCATATTAATACAAATTTCTTTTTGTAAAAAAAATATGAACGAAAAACATAAATTATAATATAAAAGTAATGGATCTACAAGATAATTTAGCAGGAATACGATCAAAACTGTAACATAGGACATTACATTTTCATCTTAGGACTGCAAAAAAATTATCCGAAAATATAACGCTTATGGAACAACAATGTCACCATTTTTTTCCCCTCCTGAAAATTTTTGTTTTTGTTATTACAGGATTTATCAGTGTGGCTGTATAGTTTTATCTGACATTTTATAATGGTGGGTGAGGAACGTTTCGAGATTTAAGATTTTGAACAAACGAACACTTACATCTTTATTTGACATACAAAAAATCTGGTGTCCACTCACACTACTTTCCCATCTATTTCAGAAAAGTTTGTATATCTTTATATATGTCCATCAAGAAACAAAAAAAAAATTGAATTAGATTTAGTTTCCTTAAAATTGATCAAAGAAAAGATTTGAGTACGATTTATTTGATAAACTAAAGCAATGTAAACTGGCTCATGGCAGAGCAGTATAATTATTTCAATACCCTCTAATATTTTTTTTATTTGTTATTATTGCTAATCAAAAACTTTTTGACATACCTTAATTTTGTCAAACAATAATTTCTGTTAAAAATAGAGAAAATAGTGAAGCTTGTGTGATGCGGGCAACAGATTTTCTTACTTTCACTTAGTCATCTTTTTTCTCTCATTCACCCCTTTCTGACACCAGGATATGAACCCGTAATCTTACATTGGAAAGTTAATAGTTGTAACTTCGTTAATATTTGTCCGAAATGAACGATTTTTATATAGTTTTGTAGGGAATTTTATTACCCTTTATAAAAAAAGGTGTTGGGGGATCTGAAAGGTATAGAACCGTTGAAAACCGCATCAGAAATTTGATCCTATCGCAATACGTTCCTTGCCTAGTATAGGTAGGAAAGTAATAAATTAAAACATGTGTAGAAAAGAGAATACGCTGTATCATCGCTAATACTGGTTCGATTCCGATGTTTTTGTTTTGTTTTGTTGGTAATTTAATTGCGTTTCAAAAGTTTTATTGTAGATTTTAAAATACAGCATATACTTAGCGAGTTAGGCCCCAAAACATTTTTCTTATCTTTATAACTTTTTTTCCTGAATTTTTTCGGGAATTTAGTCCATGTACAAAAATTATTAGAAGGCAATTATTAGAACATTATACGGAAGTTTCATCAAAATCGTTAGGGCCGTTTTAGCGCTACAGTCTATAGAAGAACATGTTTTTCATTTATTTCCCAGCAGCTTTATTTATTCCGCATGGAGCACACAATTTGTATCACAAGCATCGATAGTCAAAACCCTACAAAATAAAAAAAGAAGCAACAAAATCGGTCTACTGGTTCCCGAGATAATCTTGGCACAGACAGACAGACCAATGGCTAAAATGTGTTTTTCGGACTCAAGGGGCTCTGGAAACGTGTAGAACCGTCGAAAACCGCATATCGGAAATTTGGCCCATACTTTCCTTACCTAGTATAGGTAGGTAAGTAATAATCACCACAAAGTGTGATATGTAATTTAATGTGAAATGTAAAAATAATTATTTATAAAATTAAACACTTGAATATATTATTTTGCTTTATATTTTCCATTTCGCCAGCCTGCTGTGGCCGGGTAAAGCTAGTTGTCTAATATTTTTCAATAAACGCCCATAAATCTGTTATTACTGAACAAAATACAAACTTACTCCATGTTTCTTCGCCAACACATAGACAATATTCTTCTGTGAGTCGGTCCCTATGATATCCCTGTTGTCCCCATGCTTGTATTCGTTCCTATCGGCCAGGCTAATCCTAGTGGTCACTTCCAGCTCCCTCGGGGTCTGGTGCAGCCCCGACTTGTAGATGTAGAGCAGTTTCACTCCTGTCTTTCCGTATTCTGCATGGCAGATGTCGTAATCTTTTGCACTAAAAACAAAAATAAATATGTAAAAAAATATATAATCTAGTTGTATTATACATAAATACACAGAGTGTCTTCAGTTCTTAATGATGAAACTCTGAAGGGCGATTCTAGGGAAAAATTTCAACAAAAAAGTTCATTTTATGCATGGGCCAACACTGAATAGAAAAAGAGTTAAGACTAATTTTGTGTTTTTTTAAAAATCTTTTTTAAAATATATTTATGTAATAAATAGTAAGGGAAAGTATTGCGATCGTGAAAATGTTTGAATTTGAGTTTGCAACGGAAATACACGTTTTGAGATTCCCTGAGTCCAAATAACCAAGTCCCGAAAAATGGTCAGTAAGTTTGTATGTTAGTAGTCTAGCTCAAAAACGAAAAGTCGTAGGAAACTGAACGCCAGAAAATAATTTCTATTCAAAGCTCACCGGTAAATGAAAGTTGCGTGTTGCGGGCACCAGAGTTTTGTTGAATATGAAGGAATTGCTCCAGAACTTCGGCGGATGGACAAGATCATTTTTATTCGATTTTCGAATTATACGTATCCTGAAAAGTAATTTTTTTTTTTAATTTTTTGTTCGATCACAATGGTTCATTATTGAAAATGATAAATCAATATATGGTAGTTTAATAACTATCAATAAATATATGGTTGTTTAATAACTCTAAAGCCGATATTATATTTAAATAATTAGGTATCTATCGTAATTTTTATTCCGATAGATCATCATATGATATCATATCATAAATTAAATTAGTGAATAATTTGATGAATTTTTCCTTTTTGAAATCTTAACATTATCCACTTACAACTAGTCTGACAAATTTTGACCTATCTAACTTTACAATGGAAAATGAAATGATTAACTTTTTAAAAATAAACCATATTAAAGGTAATTTAAAGGAAGACGTATATGAACATTGGGCATTTAAGCCCAGTAAAGTGACATCAATGGGGATAAGACCTAATTGATATTAAATACTTAATTATACAATGATACACCGAGTTTAATTAAAATCGTTAGAGCCGTTTTTGAAAAAAATGCGAAAAAGTGTTTCAGCGTTGATATTAAGTGGCACTTCCGGTTAGCCGATTTTAAGGGAAAAGTTGCTATCACATCTAAGGCATATACCTATCTTAAATACGTGATATCAGTTTCGTACGATTTTTGGTTTTTGTGCTAGAATGTTCATATACACACAGACCATTTTTCGGGACTTGGTTATTTGGACTCAGGGTACCCCAAAACGTGTATTTCCGTTAAAAACTCAGATTCAAAAATGTTCACGATCGCAATACTTACCCTTACTATATAGTACATATATAAAAAGTGAAAGTAAAAATATATGGCAGTTTAATAACTCTAAATCCGATATTATATTTAAATAATTAGGTATCTATCGTCCTTTTATTCCGAAAAATAATCATGTAACCTTTTAGAAAATTAAATTAGTGAATAATCTGATGAATTTTCCCTTTGTTAAATTCTAACATTATCCACTTACAATTAGTCTGACAACTTTTCACCTATCTAACTTTATAATGGAAATTAAGAGTTCAATAAATAACAGTTGTACAATACATAATCATATATAGGTTGGATATGGTTTTTAGAATAGAATAGAATAGAATAGAAAATTAAACTTTATTCTGGGATTAGGTCCCTTTAGAATAACAATGATGAGTTAATACAAAGTAAAGTACAAAGTTTTTATGGCCTACCGTCGATATAATTAATAGGGTTTTTGTTATTTTAATGATTGTGAGCTTTTAACTGTGAGCTTTAAGATTTAGCTCCGTTAAAAATTTACTTCAAAGACTTTGTAATAGACCAACATTGCCAAAAAATAATTTATTTTCAAAGTTGTGTGATGTGCACTCCATGTTTTTAATTTCTTTTTTAGATTTTAGATATATGGCAGTTTAAAAACCATAAATCCGATATTATATTTAAATAATTAGGTATTTATTGTCCTTTTATTTCGAAAAATCATCATTTAACCTTTTAGAAAATCAAATTAGTGAATAATTTGATGAATTTTCACTTTTTGAAATCCTAACATTAACCACTTACAATTAGTCTGACAACTTTTGACATATCAAACTTCACAATGGAAAATAAGAGTTCAATAAATAACAGTTGTACAATACATAATCATATTTTGGTTCAATATGGTTTTATTGCCTACCATCGATATAATTAATAGGGTTTTTGTTATTTTAATGATCTTAATGATTGTAAGCTTTTAACTGTGAACTTTAAGATTTAGCTCCGTTAAAAATGTACTTCAAAAACTTTGTAATAGACCAACATTGGTAAAAAATAATTTATTTTCAAAGTTGTGTGATGTGCACTCCAGATTTTTAATTTAATTTTGAGATTTTAGATACATGGCAGTTTAATAACCCTAAATCCGATATTATATTTAAATAATTAGGTATCTATCGTCCTTTTTATTACGAAAAATCATCATGTAACCTTTTAGAAAATTAAATTAGTGAATATTCTGATGAATTTTCCCTTTATTAAATTCTAACATTATCCACTTACAATTAGTCTGATAACTTTTGAACTAATTTTACAATGGAAAATTAGAGTTCAATAAATAACAGTTGTACAATACATAATTATATCTTGGTTCAATATGCCAACCGTCGGTATAATTAATTTGTTTTTTGTTATTTTAATAGTCTTAATGATTTGTTAACTGTAAACTTTAAGCTTTAGCTCCGTTAAAAATTTGCTTAAAAAACTTTGTAATAGACCAACATTGGTAAAAAATAATTTATTTTCAAATTAGAGCGGTAAGTAAAAGTTGTGTGTTGCGCACACCAGATTTTTCTACGAAGAGGTGACCATTTAAAGATGGTAACTAATTACTACTCAGACATATAACTACTTCATGTAAAAAATAAAATATTATCGTAAAACGACTTATGAAAGAAACTATTTTTGAATGAACGGTGATAATAGAACATAGCTGTGACATCTTTTTTTAGTTATAAAAAATAATTAGAATATGATAGGCAAAGTTATGCTGTAAAAGTTAGTAGTTAAAAAGAACATGAATAAATAATTTGTACCATAAGAATAAAATTTATATATATAAAATTAATACACCTTTATTTAAATTGGTCTGATATCAAGGTTTTTGTTTTTAAAAATAATTTGTAATTTACCATGTAATTTTGCAAAGTTGTGTGATGCGCACTCTAGATTTTAAATTTTATTTTTAGATTTGAGTTTTTATGTTGAAAATTATGATCTGAAATTAGCTCGTTATTTAAGAATCATCAAAATACACCTTCTAATAATCGATGCGATGGGTCCGGATTGTCTCCGCCATTTTGAAATGGGAGAAACAGGAGCTTAAGTAAAAGATGAAAGGAAACTCGTCAAGTCAATCAGGGATAGCCGAGCTATGTCTTCGAGTACCAGGATGACAGGAGCCTGGAGGAGTCACTATTCGCGGTTGGCGAGGATTCGCCTGCCTGGCAAGGCCCCTTGGCGGCACAAAATTCGCGAACAGGGATCAGGACAGCAGAGGGTTCGAGGAGCTCTTCGCGAAAATTCGCCAGGGGCAGAACGCGCAGGCTCCCAGGTCAGTTCCACCGACTCCATCTTGGAATGTTGTAGTCATACCTCCTCTTCTGTATCGCTTGTTTACATTGTAATGTCTTCCAAAAGTTTAATGTATATATATCAAAAAGTGTAAATCGAACTCAGTTTTTACATATTTAAACAGTGTTTGTGCGAAAAACCATTCAAGTTTTGTGTTTGAAAATAGTGAGTGTATAAGTAATAACCTAAGAACCAAAAATTATGAAAACAAAAAGTAAGTTAAATGAAGATTTATTAGTGAAATTAGGACTGTATTCAATTTTTTTTAAAGATCAGTTCACAATAAAAAAAAATTTTTGAATTATTTTTACAAACGTGTATTTACTGTATTCTGAATTTATAGAACCATATTAAGGTAATAAGCTTAAAAAATAATAATAATTTCAACTTAATTTTTATTAACACTATTACATAAAATTTAATTAATTTCAAGTAATTATTAAGATGTATTCAATTTTGACATAACCTCTCTTGTTTGCAATGAAATTTGCAAAACAGCTGTTGTTTCTTAATATGTGATATTATTAAAAAATAAATTAATATTTTTTAAAAAACAATGTTTTCAACAAGTGTCTTGTTTTTTTTACCCTTCACTGTTATTATATTTTCAAAATAACAGATGGTTTATTAATAATTTCATAAAAATTAGATTAACTATACTAATTCTTTTAAACCTCAAAATTATGAGAATAAGAATTAAGATTATAAAGTGAAATTAGTAATATATTCAATAAATATTATGAAAACAAAAAAAAGATATCTTGAATTATTTTTACAAGACTTATTTAATTTTTTCTGTGGTATAGTTAGATAATAAGTTTTGAAAAATCATTTTTATTAATACATCAAATTTATTCATTGTTAAAATTAATTAATTTTTTGTATAACCACTTCTATTTGAAGTGAAAGTTGATTTGCAAAATAGCAATGACCTAATTTCTTCAAGAGTTGAATGATGAAAAAATAAATAGAACCAATAAAAAATATATAAAAAATCTTCTTTATTGTCATTATATTTCCAATTAATTATTTAAATTAATACATTACTCTATAAATAATTCTATTGCATCATGGACTGTTTCATTAATAACCTGATAAACTTTGAAAATTAACAAAAAGGTTATTATTATAATAATATAAATATTTGAAAAATTATAAATTATAACTTTAAAAACTGGAAACAAGTAAATAAAGTGAAATTCCAAAATACTAAATATAACATTTTTTATTTGTGATAAAAGTGAGTGAAAAATTTAGATACCCATAATATGAAAATTATGGATATATAAAAATATTGTATATAGGTATGTATGTGTTCTTTTTATTCATTTATTTTTAGGTTATTTTATTCTTATTTATTGTATATATATTTCTGTGAACACTATTATAAATGTCCTTGAGACAGATTGTAATATTTTTCAAAAAAAAAATATATATATATAAAACAAAACTTATGTTAGAGAGAAATTAAATTATAATATTTTTTTGCTAAAATCAAGGGAATAGATTTTGACCATTATAATAAAAATATACGTGCTGGCATAAAAATGAATAAAATTGTGTTTTGTATTGTTTAAAATTGTATATACAATTTTTATTCCTTTATTATTATAATTATAATTGATTTTCATCGATATTCATGAGTGTTATTGTTTCAATATAAATAATTTATTGATCAAATATATATATATATATATATATATATATATATATATTCAGTTTGAAACCATGACCATGAAAAGGCGGGCTGAACAGATGGCGTTGACCTGAGAGTTTGTTGACACCGCGCGTTCGATTCGCGGCCAAGGCCGGTCGAATCCGACAGATAGCGCTGAAGCCACCCTTCGCAATATTAGTGTTTGAATTTTTATATGTAGCTTTATATATTAGTAGCTTTATATGTATTCAAATATAAATCAAGTTTTTTATAAATTATTTTATTTATTAAGGAAGGATATGGTCCGGAATGGTGGTCATAAATATACTAAATAGTGGCAAAACTATTTTATTAAAAGTCAACGTTTCGACCCGACTTTGCAGGTCTTCTTTGGGGCTTGAACAGACAAGATACAAAAAGATATAGAGAATATTGGAAGTTATATAATATTTACACAAAAAATTATAATCAATGTGAATAAATTATTAAAATTATAAAAAGTAAGTACATTAAAATATAAACAGAGTAAGCTAAGTAACAAGATCCTAAATTGAAGTAAATAGATGGTAACAATTGTTGTAGTATAATATATGCAATTGTGGAATATAACAATAACTTGTATAATAATAATAATAATATATTTACTACTTACTCTCTATTTACTCACTATTTCCCAACCAGGTCAACAAATTTTCCCAAACCTACTCAGGTTTTCCAGTTCTAAGTGAAACTCCTTGCTGAACACAAGTGTAAGTCTCTATTTTTATTCTTCTAATTTTATTTACTTATTTTTGTTTTATTTTTTCATTTCTTTCTCCACATCCCTTTATGTCCATTATTTCATATTATATCCTTTTTTTCTTTTCTTTCAATCTCTCCTGTAGATCAGTATATTCACATTTGCATATATTATATATTACGCTATAACAATTGTTACCATCTATTTACTTCAGTTTAGGATCTTGTTACTTAGCTTACTCTGTTTATATTTTAATGTACTTACTGTTTATAATTTTAATAAGTTTATTCAAATTGTTTATAATTTGTTGTCTAATTATTATGTAATTTCCACAATTGTTTTTGTATCTTGTCCGTTCTAGCCCAGAAGAAGACCTGCAATGTCGGGTCGAAACGTTGACTTTTAATAAAATAGTTTTGCCACTATTTAGCCTATTTATGACCACCACCCCGGACAATCTCATTCCTTAATAACGCAACCGTCAACTATTAAGTACTCAATATTTTATTTATAATTTATATTTTTTATAAATTCAGCTCATTAATAGATTTTATGAATTTTTTTTTCTAGTATAAATTAAATATAAAACATAATCTAGTGCGTTATATCATATAAGTTTAACCTAACTTCAGTAGAAATTATTAAAATTACTAATCCTTAAGAATACAAACTTAAGATAATGACTATAAATTATGACAATTCTTGATTTATATACAGGCTGTCTAGTAAATAGAGGGAAAATTTTATAGAAGTGTTAACAGATCTCAAGTGCTCCAAAAAAGATCTTATAAACAATAGGCCAATTTTCATTAGTAAGTAAGTCGTGCGTTTTTGTTGAATAGAAAGCGATAGCTAAAGACAAATTTAATTTAAGTTAAAGACAAGACAAATTATCAATTCCTTCAATTAGTGTTGCCCGGAATCGGACCAACTTCGCCTATAACCAAGACCAATACTGGTAAAAAAAACTCGAATGAAAATTGAGGCAAAATAGTTACTAATACTTGACAATTTTAGTTACTATATGTAAAGAATTGGTGTAACCAATATACACTTGCATTTAACTCTTCTAATTCTTCATTCAGACTTAGTTAGGTTTCTCCTATCTAAAAAATTACAGTAATACCTCTCTAGTAATAATTTAATAGGTAACTGCAAGACTCTTATGAGAGTCTTGCGCAAGACCAACACCCAGACGAAGACTGAGTTTGCAAAACCAAGACTCGTCTTGGTCTCGCATTTGGGCAACACTAACTTCAATGTAAACTAGATAAAATTTTAATCAAATGGAAATAGAGTTTGTCATTATTAAAACCATTTAAAGAGTAATTTTGAGTGGCTAAAATAAGCTAAGTTCTACTTTTTAAAAAATCATAAATTATTCGCAAATTTTTTTCTTATCACCCAACTATACTAGAGATATTCCACTTTCAGAAAAATTTCACTTTTAATATGCTTTAAGTCAATTATAATTTAATTAAGATTTATGAGGCGAAAAATTGAGATTCATCTCAAGTTGGTAAACGAATTATTTGATTTTTATCCTGTCTCGTAAAAGAAAAAGTATTTTCAGCAAAATGACTACAATTAAATGTTTCAAAGTTTTTATTCCTTGTTTTGCCAAGCTCTGAAATATATAATAATAAACATAATTGCATAAATACAATTTTTATTTTAAAAAATAAAGATTTTTTCCTCTGTCGTAGGAATTGGCCTGTATTTATAAGTGACATACATAATTTGTCTAGCCATATTATTTACATATTAATGAAAATAATGAAAGCAATTTACAGGTTTCTTTTGTTTAACCGAAAATTTTAGCACTACAAACATTAAGTCTGGCACTTATGAATACAGACCAATTCCTATGAAAGAGATCTAGAAGAAAAAATAGTTCCATAACAACTTTACATGAAAATTATTTTTAAAATAATTATTTTTTTTTACATTTCTTAATTTTATTAATTAAAAGGATATTTAAGCAATTATGTTAATTACAACACATCCCAAACTATGAAAAAATAAGAAATAAAAACTCCTCCCACAATCGGAATGGAAAGTTTGCGGTTATTCCCACTCTGTAGCTTTAGTCCACACTATATTGTATTGTATAGAACCCTTTTTATCGAATTATTAACAGCCGCCTGAAATTTCGTAAATAGTTTCATCTCATCGTAATCTACAACTATTTTATTTACGAAAACTCTTGGAATTGGGGCGTTTTCAATCTGGAGGGGAGCAAACTTTGTCTATTTAATTACGTACTAAAAACTCTTAAATACCCATTTTCTTTCTACTTCGATCATAAGATAATTTTATCACTAAATCGATAAAAAAAGGTGGCCTACAAACATATTGGGTCGTTTGTCCTACATAACCTCGTTATTTTGAAGATTTGGAGCTGTAGGTCAATATATATGAAGGCCGCCTTTTTTCTCGATTTTGTGATAAAATTATCTTACGATCCAAGTAGAAAGCAAATGTATATTTACGAGTTTTTAGTACCTAATCAAATAGACAAAGTTTGCCCCCCCCCCCTCCGGATTAAAAACGCCCCAATTTCAAGATTTTTTTTGTAAATAAAATAGTTGTAGGTTACGATGA